TAGCTTCTGGAAACGGGGATAGGGAGAGTGGTTTAGGAGGAGGCGACGACAACGGGAAAGATGGTGAGACGAGGCGAATGGGTGGCCGTTATTTAAGCTTGGTGGGATGGCTCCTCGCTACTGGAAACCTGTGTGCTACCGGGCTCATAAAGTCATACCGTCATATACGATAGCCAAAGCTTTCTTTAGTGGCAGACAGTGGGTCCGACATTAGTTTGGCCCGTATTGTCAGTGTGGTTGTCTGGGCTCCATTGCGTTCGTGGGGTCGAGGCAAAGTGACGCCGTGGAGCCGGCCATGGCTTGGGCGATAAGATTTAGGAAAAGCAACGGAGAAGCTAACGGTGGGGGCCTTCCTTCCAGTTCGACATTTTTGCCAACTTGGCAAGTTAATATACTCTGGTATCACCAAATATATGCTTAATTATATTTCCAGCATATATTACAGACTATGTGGCGTACAAGATGCTTTTGTTCCTAAAGACACATAGCCTAGTGTCTTGGGTTTTTTCTAAGGCCTCATTTGATACAAGCGGATCGACAGGGTTTCTAGAGGATTAACCCCGCGAGGCCGAGAAACCTCGCTAATCCTCGTCGTCTCATTTGTTTCACGGGGTTTTCCCAGCCCAATCCCTTCGATCCCCTTCGTTTCCCTCCTATCCACGCGGTTGGCGAGCCTCGGGGGCACCCGCGCGGAACTGGACGCGCGAGACAGAGCGTCGCCCAGCCGTTGGATCTTCAACACCTCGCCGCCGCCACTGAGAGGACGAGCACCGCCGTCGCCACCGAGAGCAGGTGCCTCGCCGCCGGATCTTGAACGCCCCACCGCCGCCGCCAGAGCGTCGACGTCCCCCTCCGCCGGTTCTTACCGAGGAGATTCCTCTCCTCTCCTCCACTACTTCACCCCCTCTGGAAACCCTAGGGCCACGGCCGGACACCTTCTTCCTCCCTAGGTTCACCGCGTTCTGTAGCAGTTCACAGCAAGAGTTCTTGTGACAGTTTGCTGCGTCCATCACAGAAGCAGCAGTACTTTGACACCTCATGCGTGGTTTGGTGCCAAATTGAACTCGTCTAGTCGGCGCCGGCGTTGTTGTGTCTACTTGTTGGAATCCCTACTTGCTAGCTATTGTTGTTGAGCTAGCAGATTATGTAGGAGTAACCCATCCATCCTGATTGGTAGGGTGTGCTCTTGACCAATGGTTGGTATAACCACCTCACTTTCTAATCTAAGGTGGTTGTTGTTTAGGTGCGTGCATGAAAAACATCTGAAAAACACCTCACTCAACTATTGCTCTGTACCGTATGATGATGTATCTCTTGTTATTTTCAATCTACTCTCAGTCATGAAGTGAGCTCAGTGGATTGTGATTTTTAGGACAGCTTGCTTGGTGCCATGCATACATAGTTTAGTTTTCATGATTGTCCAGTTAGAGAGATGGTTCGGTGGATTGTCATAAGATATTGTCTATCTTGTAAAGATTGCATTTTTACATATTTGCACTATCTTATCTAAATATGGTAATCCTTGCCTATCAAACAAGTTTTTCATATGAAGGGGATTGTGGCTGAGGGGTTTGTAGGTTTGAAGGGGGTTTGAGGGGATTGGGTGGAAGGAAGGGATTCACCAAATCCCCTGAAATTCCCACCCCCACAAACCTCCTCAATCCACTTCTACCAAACAAGGCCTAAGGAGGATCTACCCCGACCTCTGCATCTGGACGATACATACAACCATTTTACTAATTATTTATAAAGACTATACAAAATAATACTTCCTTCGTTCACAAATATAAGTCTTTTTAGAGATTTCAACATGGGACTACAAACGAAGCAAAATGAGTGAATCTACACTCTAAAATATGTTTATATACATTTGTATGTTGTAGTCCATTTGAAACCTCTAAAAAGACTTACATTTAAGAATGGAGGGAGTACATCAGTAAATCTGAAGTCACCATCTAGGCAACACTTGTTGCTACTCCTATCCCCTTGATGAAGGGGTGCCGAATGTCCGAGTCAAATACCAAACAGATATTGCACCAAAGCCTAACATCTAAAGCCGGCCCCCAGCCCAGCCACATACCAAGACTGGGTCACACACCGGACCGGAGCAATCTCAGAGGTTGTCGCCGCCATCTTCCACCGGTCCATCTCCAGAGCAGAAACTGGCGCATCGACCTCGCGTGGCCTGTCGTCGACGCCACCATGACGCGAGACAACACCACCATCCTGCATGTGTTCGTCCATATGCGCCCGTCACCGGACCTCCGCAGCACCATGCCATCGGGATCCGTCGTCGTCCTTGCGGTAGATGTAACACCGCTCCTCCTCTTGTCCCCTCCAGCCATCACTTACTCCAAAACGATGCCCCCGGGAGGGAAAGCGATACTGCGAAGGGCATCATCGTCCAATCCGGTAGACCCAGATCTAGAGTTTCCCCTGGAGCATCCCGAGATTGATGACGCAAACTACAACGACGATGCCTCGAGAAGGGAACAACATCACAGACTCCGCCATCGTCCGCCATAGCCATAGTCGGCACGATTTTCACCGACAGTGTGTCGCGGTGGTGTCATTGGTTGATGTCTACTACACAACTTATTCCTGTAGACTCGTGTTGGGCCTCCAAGCGTAGAGTTTTATAGGACAGTAGCAATTTTCCCTCAAGTGAATGACTTAAGATTTATCAATCCGTGGGAGACGTAGGATGAAGATGGTCTCTCTCAAACAACCCTGCAACCAAATAACAAAGAGTCTCTTGTGTCCCCAACACACCAAATACAATGGTAAATTGTATAGCTGCACTAGTTCGGTGAAGAGATGGTGATACAAGTGTAGTAATGATAGTAGATATTGATTTTTGTAATAGGAACAGGAAAAAACAGCAAGGTAGCAAATAACAAAAGTGAGCACAAATGGTATTGCAATGCTTGAAAACGAGACCTAGGTTCATACTTTCGCTAGTGCAATCTCTCAACAATGCTAATATAATTGGATCATATAACCATCCCTCGACGTGCAATGAAGAATCACTCCAAAGTTCTTATCTAGCAGAGAACGTAAGATAGAATTGTTTGTAGGGTACGAAACCACCTCAAGTTATCCTTTCCGACCGATCTATTGAGCTATTCCTATAAGTGTAACAAACAGTCCAAGAGTTCGTACTAAAATAACACCATATGATACACATCAACCAACTCTAATGTCACCTAGATACTCCAATGTCACCATGAGTATCCATGAGTTAATTATACGATATGCATCAAACAACTTTAGATTCATAATACTCAATCCAACACAAAGAACTTCAAAGAGTGCCCCAAGATTTCTACCGGAGAAACAAAGACGAAAACATGCATCAACCCCTATGTATAGATTACCCCAATGTCACTTCGGGAGTCCGCGAGTTGAGTGCCAAGACATACATCAAGTGCTCTCAAATCCATAAAAAATTCAATCTGATAATAAAGAAATCTCAAAGGTAATTCAATTCATCACAACAAGATAGAGAGGAAAAAACACCATATGATCTAACTATATTAACAAAGCTTGCGATACATCAAGATCGTGCCGAATCAAGAACACGAGAGAGAGAGAGATCAAACACATAGCTACTAGTACAAACATCAGTCCCGAGGGTGGCCTACTCTCTCCTCATCATGGTGGCCGCCTGGATGATGAAGATGGCCTCCAGTGATGATTCCCCCCTCCGGCAGGGTGCCAGAACAGGGTCTAGATTGGTTTTTCATGGCTACAGAGGCTTGCGGCAACGGACCTTCTAACCTAGGGTTATTTCTAGGGGTTTC